ATTTGATTCGTAATGAATTAATTGGCTTTATTTGGGTAAAACTCTTAGAGTTAACACTTTGAAACTGAAATTGAAGCCTTTAATGAGTTCAGAAACAGAAATTGAGTACATGGATATGCTGATGGGAATTTTTAGAGCCATTTGGGAAGTTTAATTGAAATTTGATTTCGTCTAATTCGTTAAGTCATGTTTGACTCTTATTATTGGAGTAAGCTTTTTTATATAGATTTTTATGAGACAAGTTATAGATATAAGTGTATTAAGCTCTTATTTTGCTCATTCTTATCCCATGGGAAGCAAAATATGGGGAAAAGAGAGGTAGAGTTCTTGGAAGAGAGATTGAGAGCTCTAAAGAACTCAAAGAGAAGAAAAGGAAAGTGTAGAGATGAAGGGGGAACTCAAGATTTAGCTTGGATTTTCCAAGAATGTGCAAGAATAAGGATTAATGAAGGCTTTAGGTAAGATTTTACCTCTCAAACCTTGGATTTTATAGAAGCTTTTACATGTATTTTGTCACATAAGGCAAGAACATAGCATGATCTCATAAGATGCATGGTTATAACTTTTTTTTTTTGGCATGATTTCTAATATTCATAAGGATTTCAATGGACTTTCTCTATGGATTTTGGAATTAGAACTCATCACATGCATAGCTTTTGATTTTGTTATTGACTTCAAGTCTTTGAGCTTGTAAATGGAATTTTGGTTTTGCTTTGAAATCATGATTTTCATTAAAGTATGAATTGTTTAATTCAACACGGTTTTGAAAGGTTTTGATGCCTTTGATTTGGAAAATAACTTTATTCCCATGTTTATCCATGAATTTATAAGGTTTATGTTGAGTTTTACTAAGCCCTAGCTCAAGAACTTGCAAAGAAACCATTTTAGAACATACTCAAATTTTGGACCTGCTGCTAGAAGCCTAGAACCGCATGTGTGGCTTGGATTTCCATACGTGCGGATTGCCTTATTTAAGCCAACTTTAACTAGGCATATCTCCCTCATCCGGACTCCGTTTTAAGTGATTCTTAAGCCTAAATTCAATCCCCGGAGGTCTAGTTTCCAATGGTCTCACATCCAAATTCTAAGTATACAAGTAAATATATTCAAATTAGTGAAGGTTGTTTACTTTTTGTCTACCTGTTTCATGTTATTTCTTCTCCTAACCTAGTTTCCTTTCTTTTTTCCTATTTTCCTTTATATGAATTATGACCCATTGAGGACTAACAACTTTAGAACCAACATAAATAATTGGTTAAGGCAAAGTAAGGGATTGGTTTATTTAATTAAGAGAAGTAAATTTGATCAAGAGAGTAATTCTATGTTTCGATATGTTGTGTTATGTAATTGTGTTTGTAGGCCAAGACAAGGACATCGCCTAACTGCTACCAAAAGCCCATCATTGTGAGTAATAGTATAGTACAGATATGTTTTTCATTATCTATTTTGAGTGGGGTCATGAGTTTGCTCAAGATCATGAACCCGTTGCTCAAGGTTGGCCAATGAAGCTGACAAGGCATCCATATTGTCCATACACTGCTCCAAAAGCTCAATTCTCTCCCTTTGCGTAGGTTGACGGTTGCCAAAAGCATCCATTGAGAAAGCTAAGAATAGAGAAAGCCAATAGACTGGCTCTAATACCAACTGTCACACACTGGTTGTGCGAAAGCGTTGTCAATAGATATGCAAGTGTGTGTGGCGCTAGTTGACTCTCTTCACTAGCCGCCAATAATACTCAAAGGGTTTGCAAAGACAAACAAACACAATACCAATTAGTTGAAGAGCCAATAAGTTTGGAGACAAGCTACAAAATAGAAAGCAACAAGCTAAAATTAAAGTAAGCGACAATGAACAAGCTTTGCACAACTTTAAGGTGAAATGAACTTTTCATTGATCAAAAGAAGACATTACAATAGTTGAACAATGCACCAAAAGTGCTACAAAAGTTGCCTTACCATTGGCTAGGTTGGGATACTTTAAAGGCACAAGTGGTTTGGTTCAACACTTTGGTACCCCCTCCTTAATATAGCTTGTTAAGCCTTTTCCTAACTAGCAAGAGGAAACATCCTCTATGTTTGAGGAGTCATAATGGATTTCTAAAAATTCTACAAAAAGAGAAAAATTACAAGACTTAGTCCTCAAACAACTTTAATACTAAGGTATTTACATAAAAAATTACAAGACAAAAATACTACATTTGACCCTAAAAAATGCGCTTCAAAGTTGCTGCTGCACAGGCAAGGTTGTGGCCTGGGCTACAGCCTACTGCGGCTGGGCCCGCTGCCTACTATGGCATTGCACTGCTGTTGGGCTGTTAGCAAGATTGCTGGCTGCTGCTGCAAGCTACTGCTGGGTTGTTGGCAAGGTTGCAGCCTACTAGCTGCTGGCCGCTATTGGCAAGGCTATTGCTGGCTGCTACCGGCTGCTAGCAAGGCTGTGGCCTGCTGGCTATTGCTGGCAAGGCTACTGAAGGCTGTTGCGCTAGCAAGGCTGCTACTAGCTACGGCCATCCATGTGCTGTCCAATGGCATGCCATGGGCTGTCTTGCACTATTCCTTGAGCCTTTACTTACACTTGCACCAACAATTTCTTTTTGGTTCTCCAAAGGGCACAAATGAGTCTGGTATCAAAATAGTGCACATAGCAACATTTCCCTATCAGTTATAATAGTCTACAAGTCCAAATAATTCTAACATAATTGCCCAAATAGGCTATATTTACATTAGGCATATTTTATTAGCAAGATTAATAAGGGGATTAACAAGCGGCTAATTAGTGTGAGATTAGTTATGTAGCAAGGTTACTGAGGTAAATATTTTCTTCTTTTTTTTCCACACTTGTTCTGCAATAGATATAACAATACATAATTATAATTATATATTTCGTTTTGAATTATTAATTGTAGTATTAAAATATTTTTCAATTTTATTAGATAAAAGTCCATCAGAATCTAATTCGGATAATAAAAATGGCTATCAAATAATATAATATGAGTCATATAAATTAACAATCTCAGTCTTATTTTATAATCCATTTAATCAAACATGCCCTTAATCAATAAAACATTTTGATATAATTACATTAATTCTTTCAAAATTTTAATTCATATAACACTTAAGTAATTTATAATCAATAGTTTGTGAGCCGTATAAAAAAAAAAAAATTCAACTTGTTTGGTTCTGATTTTCAGAAGACAATTCCAAATAAACATTTAGCTTGTTTGGTTTTGGTTTTGGTTTTCATCTGATTTTCAGAAGAAAATTCAACCTTTTTATTTTTTGTATTTTAATGTTTTTAATGAATTTTTTTAATATTTTAAGTAATTTTTTTTAATTTTTAGACACACCTAACATAAATACACTTAGTATAATATTTGTGAAAAAAATCTTTAAAAAATACACTAAATACAAAAAATTAAGAACATTTTCCCTATTTTTGTATATTTATTAATTTTTAAAATATTTTTTCATAAATATTTTACTATTTAGATATATCTAATTAAGGTACATCTAAAAAAGTAAAAAAATTATTTAAAATTTTAAAAATATTTACTAAAAACAAAAGAATACGAAAAATAAAAAACATAATTTTTAGAAAACTGAAACCAAACTCACTGAATATTATTATCTATTTTTTTAAAAATTTATAATTACTACTCTATCCGTCCCAAAATATTTAAAAATTTATAATTACTACTCTATCCGTCCCAAAATATTAGTCTCTTATTTCATTTTACATTGATCTAAAATATTAATTCATTTTAAAAAATAAAGGAATAAAATAATATGAATTTACTATTTTACCCTTCTTTCAAATTCATTAATAACACAAAAAGTACAATTATAACAATTAATATTCAAAAAAAAAAATACTATAAAAGGGTAATTTTAGAAAATTAATATTTTTTAAATGTAATAATTGTACTAAAAAAAAGACAAATTCCCCAAAATGAACTATTATTTTAGGACGGAGGGAGTATTTGTATCGCTTTAGGGATTGTTTGACAACCCACTACTTTAGCATAATTTTGTATTTTTATCTTATTTGGGTCACATCATCTCTTTATCACTTCGCACACATTTTCATAAAAAATAAAAAATATATTAAAATAGTTTATTCCCAAACACCTTAATTTTATTAAAAAAAAAAAGTCAATATAATTATGTCAAACTTGTGAGAGTAAGGCCAAATTTGGAAAGATAAGAAAAAGACAAAAAGTCAAAAAGTTACTCAAAAAGTTAAAAAGTTAACACTATTCACCAAAAGTCAACAATTACGGCTGCATATTTTTCAATCCTAATTTTTCGCTACAAATCAATTTTACAATTTTTTAATACACATTTTTCCATAAAAAGTCAAAAAGTTAACCCAAACATCCATATTTTTTCCCTCAATTTTTTAGTTCAAAAAGATAAAAAGTGCACTTATTTAGGACACCCCAAATAACCCCTAAGTGCATTTTTTTTATGGTCCAACTTGTCTCCAGTTGGAGATTAAGACTAGACCATCCAGTCCAATCCATGGGCCCATTTTTTGCCCTCGTTTCGATAATCTGAATCGTTCAATGTATAGAATTCATCAAGTACTATATACTTGAAAAAAATCACATTAATCAGATATTGATAGCTATTTGATCAGATTAGTTTTGTATTAAAAAAATAGACGATAAAAAAATAAACGGTTGATAAAAATCTAATCTGATCAAATAGCTATCGATATTCAATCAACATAATTTTTTACAAGAATATAATACTCGACGAATTCTACATATTACCGATTCAAATTATCAAAAAAAAATCAAAAAAATAAAGCCACAAACTGGACTGAATGGTCCAATTTTGATCTCCACTTAGAGACAGCTGCACCATTTTATTTAAAACCTCAAGAGGTGAGTTAAAAATAAATAAAAGTCTAACAATCTTTTTGACATTTCAAAAGAATGTATATACATCCAAAGCGGCGGCTTCAATTTTCATCCACAAGATTGCACCTCCCAAGAAATAAACCCTAACTAATTTCATAACAAACACATATTCGGAATGTTGACCTGAGCACTCACTCTCTCTCTCTCTCTCTCATGGCATCTCTTCGCAGGCTTCTTCCCCTCGGCCGTACCTCCCTCGTACGTCCCCCTCTCTGTGTAGACATATTTGTATGTATATTCATGACACATGCACATAAGTGGGCATCGGATTCGTTACAATGGTGTGTTTTGTTGCAGGGAACTGACTTGTCTTCTTCTTCTTATGGTGCTCGCAGAGGTTTCTCTCTCTTTCTATCGTTCTTTCTTGTTTAATTAATTTCCCTAGTTCGTCTTTCTGAATCTTGTGTTGTGTCATCGGAAATGCGATGCGAGGGTATTTGATTGACACTGTGAGACTTGCTATTGAATTTATTAGGGTTTGGAGGAGGCTGTCGCGGCTACAATTCAAGCATATCGTTCGAACAAAAGATATTGAAACTGGAAGAAGATAATCAGCTGGCTGAAGAAGAGATAGCCAAGATTCGGCGCGAATTCGATGCTGCAAAACAGAGTTTTTTCAAGATTCCTGACGCTCTTAAGGGAATGCAGAAGATGGATCCCAATGGTATATTAATCTTTATTTGTTTATTACTTTTTAATCATTTCTTCATTCTTTTAGTTTATTTATTTATTTTTTTTAACTTCTTGTATTGATTGCCTTTTTCATAATTGCAATTAGGTATATATGTCAATAAGAACCTGAGATTGGAGAATATTCAAGTTTATGGCTTTGACTATGACTATACATTGGCACATTACTCTGCTAACTTACAGAGTTTGATATATGAGCTTGCCAAAGAACATTTGGTTAATGAGGTCTGGTATTATATTGGAGTATTGCCTTATGTTATTGATGTTGATGTTTTATGAGCCATGCTGAGTACTCATTGCGATTTTCATCTTTTTGGACTATGTTGTTGTGGTGCTTTCAGCTTAGGTACCCTGATAGTTGCTTGGAATTCAAATATGATCCCACCTTTCCCATTAGAGGTTTGTACTATGACAAGCTAAAAGGGTGCCTTTTGAAGTTGGATTTCTTTGGGTCAATTGAGCCTGATGGATGCTACTTTGGTCGGCGCAAGGTACTTTACAATGAACGGTTTTGATATATATATATATATATATTTGGCTTTGTTGGACAGACATTGATTGGCAGCTATAACTTTTAAATTATGCAAAGGAACTCATAGATGTAAGAAAGTCAAGCCCATATGCATTGTTTACTATATGCATTTTCAATACTTTGAAGAATCACCTAGATTAAGTTACGACAGGGAAAATTAGGAGGGTTGGAAAGGACTTTACTGCCTGGTGTCTTGCAGAAAAGATGCATTGCAAGAAAAGACTGGTACTCACTGACATCAGATTGTATACAAAAAATCCATTGGGTTTCCGTGAAAAGAACTTCTAAAATGTTCCCATTTCCAAGCTAACCAAAAGAACACATGAAACAAATTTTTGATCCTTTGTTTATATGTAATTGAGTAATTGAAGTATTCTACCCAATTTTGAAATAATTGTTATCTTTAATTGTTTTAATCCATATGAATTTACAGCTTACCAAGAAGGAAATAGAACAAATCTATGGCACAAGACATATTGGCCGTGATCAAGCACGTGGACTCGTCAGTTTGATGGATTTCTTTTGCTTTAGTGAGGTCAGATTTATTATTGTTGCATATCTATAATTATGTAGCCTCAATTCATTTTGTTGGTTCTTCCTGTCTTCCTTTTCTTGTTCTTACTTTTGTCTTCATTCACTTAATTTCATGGTTTTAATTCCCAATTTATCATTTGACTGTGGGATGCTCATTCAGAAATTGTTTTTAATACACACACTTTGGCTTGAACATGGTCGACGAGTTTGGCTCTTCACTGCTAGAATTTTCACATAAAATATGTAGTTGCATTGTTTCTAAGTAAATGTGAAATAGTCCATTTGAAACATTTTCAGGATTTCCCTAAACAAATTGTATCGAGGGAAATCATTGAAGTTATGTGTTTCTTTAATGAACATACAATCCTCTATATTATGTATAGGGTATAGTTAATTCAGTATCATTTCCCAGAGAATTTTCACATAAAATATGTAGTTGCATTGTTTCTAAGTAAATGTGAAATAGTCCATTTGAAACATTTTCAGGATTTCCCTAAACAAATTGTATCGAGGGAAATCATTGAAGTTATGTATTTCTTTAATGAACATACAATCCTCTATATTATGTATAGGGAAATCATTTCAGTATCATTTCCCAGATTTTCGTCTTCTTCACTCCTTTTAATAATCCGATTGTAAACTCATCCATGCATGTGAAAAATGGGATAATCTGTGTTATTTATCCATTTTTTAAATTGGGTGCTTATATTCTCTTTTGTTTATCCCTTAATTACAGAGCGTGGTAATTTGTTTTTCCATCTTATGCTGTTCTCCTTTTCCATTTGTTAGAGACAGTGACATAGGAGAAGTGCAGCAACACATGCTCTCTAACAGAGTGCGCAAAATTAATGTAGGGTGCCATCATGGCATGGTAGGATTATTCAGGGTTGGATTAGTGGTAGTTTATGAAGTTGGAATGGTTGGCAAAATTATAGAAGTTATTAAGGTTTTGTTGGGTAACAAAAGGGCAGGGATTGACATGAAAGATGGGAATTTGTGGACAGATCAGGGGCTGATTTTGTAAATCTTTATATCTTAGGTGAATTGTTTAGGGTTGTAAATTAGGGTCAAAATTTAAAGAAAAGGTAAATTAGATCATGTTTTGAGGTTTGAAGGCTTAAAATCATGGTATTAAAAACCAGCCAAGTTGTAGGGTAGTGGCTGCTTCGGACTGGAATTTTGGAAGCATGAGTAGGTTACACCCCACTTTACTAGGCTGAATCAAAATTGCAGCTGAATAGTCCGGTTCACTTTATTTCAAACAAAAAGAAATTTATTTAAAATCTTAAAACTTGCCAGATTTCAGCTATCCATATGGCTTTAAACGCATTGTATGCTGTAGTAGCCTATTAAAAAGAGATGTAGCACCTCAAGTTGGTTTGATTGCCCGATGTGGGATTGCTGTATTTGTATAGAAGCAAAGAAATGAAACGGGTGTTTATAATTGACTTGTGATGGCTCATAGCCCTTCTCTACTCAATTTGGGATTGATGCCATATTGATAAAATGCAAAACCAAGCTCCACATTTTCTTTCCTGAGCATTTTCCAGTGCATCAATCCATCTATTGCTTAAGTGTGTTTTTTTTTTTTTTTGGAGTGTGTATTTTTTCGGGGGGGTTAACATTCGTTTTCTTTATTCATAAGCAATACATATTTTTAGACGTCACAATATTGATTAAAATATGACAAATCAAGAGTAAACCCTATATTATATATAGACTATAGGCAACTGTAACGTAATAGAACATGGACTTCCAATTAAGAAACTGAGACTTGATTTCATAAGCTGAGTTTTGGAAGCAATGATAGAAGACCAAATGAATGCATTCATGGAAAATCATAAGTGGCATGACCATTTCAGACTCTATGGGTTCTGATGTAGGATAAATGACCCGGGAGTCACGGGTTCAAACATACAAACAACTTATCCACACATGGGGGTAAGATTGCATATATCTAACCCTCTCTAGATCCACAGTGGCTGAAACCTTGTGCACTGGGATTGCCCTTTTTTATGTAGGATAAATGACATCGTCATAAATGGCATTATGTGGATGCATGGACTGGACAATTAAAGAATGAAAAAAATTTGTAAATGTTGAGTCGTGCGCCTTCTAATGTAGAAATCTTCTTGTGTTCACATGACAAAAACTTTTGTGGCTCCTTTCTTTTGATTGACTAACTTACTTTAGATATAAAGTCGGTGCTGGTTTCAATTGAAATGTATGATCTGAGTCAATATTCATGCATATAAGAAAATTTATGTATTTTTTAATAGGCCATATAAGAAAATTCATTCTACCTGTTTAATACTAGAATCATGAGTTTGAATTAGAATTTATCCTCTTATATCCAAAACCATATATTATTGACTTTAATTTAAAATATCAAGTGTGATCATTCCCATCCAATCAAAAAGCTTCATTCCACCACACACACCCCCCCCGAAATGGATGAATGGATTTCTGAATTTTGCTGAATTGCAAGATAGAAAAAATCTTTGTTTTTTTTATTATTATCAATTTTATCAATTATTTGAGTCTTAGTATTTTTATTATTGTTGGCATCAATATTATCAATTCAACTTAGGTTGCATTCTTAGTTTTATATGCCATTAATGATAGATTTTATAGAAATGGAAATGTAACACTCAATTATACAGTTTGAACACAAAACCTTTACATATGGTGGCATGACAAATTCCATTAAATATATTTTATACAGATATATTCTTTGGAAGATTTGTGTGCTCAATGCAACAGAACTGAGTTGTTCACGAACAACTCAAGCTCGGCTCTTTTAAAACTCGTTTAAGATCGAGCCAAATTACATGATTGTTCCATTCCTGATATACATGAAAAAGAAAAGGAAAAAAGAAATTCCGATGTCTTTTATTTTAAGCACTATTTCTGTTCATTAGTCTTTTGTTTACAATGCATATTTATATATGCAACATGGATTCCGTTGCATTTATGCTTGTCGTTTGTCTGGAATCTTGATTTCTAGGTCAGCAGAACTATCTCTGTAATTTTTATTTATTTTCTTGTTAATTGCGCTTGGTAATTTTTTTCTTCTTACCCTGAATATGCTTTCTGTTTCTGATTTCGTAGGCCTGCCTTATTGCTGATATTGTGCAACATTTTGTTGACGCAAAGCTCGAGTTTGATGCATCCTATGTCTATCAAGATGTAAATCGTGCAATTCAGCATGTTCACCGAAGTGGCTTGGCTCATAGAGGAATTCTATCTGATCCACAAAGATACCTAGTTAAAAATGTGCGTGACGATGAACTCTGTTCTAATATTTGTATAATTTGCTTTTATTGTTTGAGGTCTCCTGTTCTTAACTCATTCTCAGGTTAGTGGTGGCTCATTGTAAAATGGGACAACGGATATACTATATTTCGTCAATTTTAATCTATTATACTGGACACTTGAAAAATTGTTATTGTATGGTCAAACCTTGTAGAGTCAGCTGCTACGCTTTCTCAGGATGCTAAAGGAAAATGGGAAGAAACTTTTCTTGTTGACCAACTCTCCGTATTATTTTGTGGATGGAGGGATGCGTTTTATGTTAGAGGTGACACTCAGAAAAGATATCCCCTAATCACCTTTATTTTTATATTCCTTTTGTATTTGCATCCTTCTACATATTGCTGGAACTCCTGGAGATTGTTTCTAGTTTCAATTTGGACTTTGTTGTTACTGGTTTTGAAACTGAACTTTTGTCGTTGTGATTATTGCTTGTTGTTTAATTACGTATAAACTTTCCTAATTTTGTCAGCATCCTACTTTTCTGATGTTTGCCTATTATTGACCCATGTTATATTAAATGCAAATTACCATATACAGAAAACTGTATTGGGTAAGACACGTGCATATAAAGAAATGATATTCAGAATCTTGCTTATTTGTTTAGTTAAATGTAAAAAAACATTAACTACATTGCCATAACTAATTGTTTGGGGGGCAACTTGTATGGCCGAAGCCCTAAGCAGGGATAACTCTAGGGTTTGCTGATCCTAACAGTACATTGTACAGCAGAGTTCTCAACCCTAGAGAGGGATCCTCCATGTTCGCTTCTGGACAAGTTATCCCAAACCTTGTAAAACTAGTTCACACATTTATTAGCCTCTGTAAGTCTGGACCACGTGATACTGACGCCGTGCGTGGCCTTCAGATGGCAGTGTTCTCAAGATTGTTGTTCCTAACTCTAAACCACTTTAGTATCCAGTTGATCACCAGAACACTTATCTAATAGAAAATAAAAGAAACTGGACATGCGTATTAGAATCTGATACTGTTCTTTGTTTGTGCGTGCGGGCTGGAAAAAAAAATTATTGTTTATCATGTGGATCAGTTGCATTTTAAGATTTGAATTACCCCCTCCTTAACATTCGTGAAGATTGTTGCATCTAGGGATTTAAAATTGCATAACTTTTCTTGATTGTTTAATAAATATATATTATATGTATTTGTGCCTTCTACGCTAGGTGTGTGTTAATTTTCTGTCGTTGTCAATCAGTCTCTCTGGGACAATTTTAATGTAAACCACGAAATGTTTATATGTCATGTTATTCTCCCATTTCCAATAGAAGTCAGATCCTTTGTGACAGTCAAAACTCTACATTTTCTCTCAAGTTGCAATGTCAACCCTTCGTCAATGATTCCTGTTCAATTTGAATGGAATTAAATTAAACATGTGGTTGTTACATGACTTAATTTGGTAGCACATTAAATCTTTATCCCACCATATTTCTCTGAAGACTCACTTTAATCCCTAAGATTTGATATGACAGATCAACTAATTTTTAAGTCATGCGATAGACCCATGGTCAGTTTCAGTTCATCTAAGAAGCATCGATACTTCTAAGAAGGTGGTTAACTACATTAATGAGTAAGAAGTATATACACTTTGCCATAACTAATTGTTTGGGGGGCAACTTGTATGGCCGAAGCCCTAAGCAGGGATAACTCTAGGATTTGCTGATCCTAACAGTACATTGTACAGCAGAGTTCTCAACCCTAGATAGGGATCCTCCATGTTCGCTTCTATACAAGTTATCCCAAACCTCGTAAAACTAGTTCACACATTCATTAGCCTCTGTAAGTCTGGACCACGTGATACTGACACCATGTGTGGCCTTCAGATGGCAGTGTTCTCATGATTGTTGTTCCTGACTCCTAACCACTTTAGTATCCAGTTGATCACCAGAACACTTATCTAATAGAAAATAAAAGAAACTGGACACGCGTATTAGAATCTAGTACTGTTCTCTGTTTGTGTGCGCGCGGGCTTGAAAAAGATTATTGTTTATCATGTGCATCAGTTGCATTTTAAGATTTGAATTACCTCCTCCTTAACATTCGTGAAGATTGTTGCATCTAGGTATTTAAAATTACATAACTTTTCTTGATTGTTTAATAAATATATATTATATGTATTTGTGTCTACACCTTTTTATATTTATATTTGCTCTTTGAATACCTGATTTACTTCCCTTCTACGCTAGGTGTGTGTTAATTTTCTGTCGTTGGCAATCAGTCTCTCTGGGACAATTTTAATGTAAACCACAAAATGTTTATATGTCATGTTGTTCTCCCATTTCCAATAGAAGTCAGATCCTTTGTGACAGTCAAAACTCTGCATTTTCACTCAAGTTGCAATGTCAACCCTTCGTCAATGATTCCTGTTAAATTTGAATGGAATTAAATTAAACATGTGGTTGTTACATGACTTAATTTGGTAGCACATTAAAACTTTATCCCACCATATTTCTCTGAAGACTCACTTTAATCCCTAAGATTTGATATGACAGATTAACTAATTTTTAAGTCATGCAATAGACCCATGGTCAGTTTCAGTTCATCTAAGAAGCATCGACACTTCTAAGAAGGTGGTGTGTCTGTGTTGGACAAGTGTCGGACACCGATACTCATTGGACATTTTATGACTCGTGTCCAAATGTTTAGATATTATTTTTAAATGTTTTTTTAGCACAGACTGTCGGGCACACTTGGGACCCTTGGGGACAGGCATGACCATTGCTTAAACATACATGAAACACATTACAATTTTGAACAAAATAACTAAAAGGATACAATGATAAAAGAAGAATAATGTAGATTTAAATTTATTAATCCTCCCGGCTTTAAACTTTAGAGATTAGTGTTGTGTTGCATTTTTCAAATTCTATTTGTAATGATAATATCTATGACATATCTAAAATATATAAAATTATATGCTTTGTGTGTTCCTCACATGTCGTGTCCTGCCTTTTTTTTAAAAAAAATCGTCCTGTCAATGTGTCCGTGTTGTATGTGTGTAATTTCGTGTCATATGCCCATGTCCATACTTGTTAGCTGTTCCTCTTCTAAATGGAAGTTGATAGAGGGTTGACATTGAAATTTGACCGGAATTACAGGGTTGCAACCATCAAAATCGGAAGTACATGAATTAAAGTGGAATTTAAGGTAAAATACAAGGGTGCAAACTGTAATTTATCCTTTACCAATTTAGCATTATGTACCCATTTGTTTTTCTTTTTCTTTTTTCTCCCATGTTTGTGTGTCGAGTATTTTGTTTCCTTTTTTTTTTTTTTGTTTTTTTTTTTTTGTTTTGGGTTGATATTTTCTTCCTTCTTCTGAATTTCAATTGCTGATCTATATGGAATCACTGAAATTTAGTTTTTTAGTTGTCTTTTTACATTTGAATTAGGATTCTTTGGGTCAAAGAGACTCCTGGAGGGAGCTTTTTGATGTCGTGATTGCTAAAGCGAATAAACCAGAATTTTACACATCCGAGAATCTGTTCCGGTATTTTCTTCAACTCTAAGCTCTCCAGTTGTTTTGTCACATTTTTACATTAAAAAATGGAATATTGCTTTCTTGTGCTTCCTACTTTGACAGTTTCCCTTTCCGATCTTTGTTTTTTGATTGAGCCTTTTAAAGGACTGATTGTGTGATTTAATTTTGCTTCTGTAATTTGTGGGCTCATTTTGTTGAATTCTCTTATAGTTTTAACATTGCAATTTTGTGTTTTTGTTTTGTGTACTTCTTGCCCCTACATGGGCTTTGTCCCTTTTCAAGGGTTTTTATTGCTCATAGAAGCCACATTTGAGGTTGGATAGCAGCTATGAATCTTGAAATTGGTTTTGACAGCTGAGGTTCTTTGAGGTGCTATTCTCTTTAATTTAGTTATATTACTTGGACTTAGGTGAGAGTGGGCCTGGGCGCAACGGTAAGGTTGCGCCATTGCAACCTGGGTTTCACAGGTTCAAACCACAGAAAAGACTCTCTGCACCTAGGAAAGGCTGCATGCATTTGATGCTCCCCAAACCCCATAGTAGTGGGAGCCTTGAGCATTGTGACTGCCCATTACTTGGTCTTAGGAATGTACATCAAATGTGGATACATGTCTAAGTGTCAGGTTGATTTCATTGCCAAGTCCAAAAGATACAAGGACATGACAAAATGTTCATATTTTTCTTTGTTTTTGTTTGTGCTGTAAATAAAATGGTACTGTTACGTAACATTAAGCATCAAACATGGGCAATTCACTCTATTTGTGACAACTATCTAACAAAAGTAACATAGTAAAAGAGTTTTGTTTGCATGTACAACTATATAGTAAACTTGAATTTCTAGACATGTTTGCTAGGGGTGTGCAATGAAATATGCTGGACACACATTCCATGTAGTACTAACACAAAGGCTAACATTAAAACAACACAATGTGAAAACCCAGCATGGTAAATTTTTTAAGTAGAGCATGGATACAGCAGTATGTAAATATATTTTTCATACATATTGAACTAGAAGATACATATGATATATTACTAATTATTTTCCAACTCTTTTCTTCATATATATATATATATATTATATGCATATGTGTTCATTAAGATTAAAATCTTTGCATATATCTGAATGTGCCTGCTAGATGCTTGAATTATAGTTGCTATATGTACAATGTCAACTTTCTCTTATTTCTTTGTAAAAAGGTTGTACACTTGGGCATAAGTTCATCCCATTTTTAAGAGTGTCAGGCAAATGCTCCTATTAACTGTCGGCTAAGCATCTGAGAAGTTTCGGTAAAGTGTTTGAACATGTCCAAGCTATAGCAGGTGTGGCTAACAGTACCCAAGAAGTGTCATGTTCTGAAGGGACACAACTCCTTTAAGTAAATGTCTGTGCTTCTTAGTATTCCTTACCCTTTTCCTGAGTGTTGTGTGTCAGACATCCAAAGAAGTTTGTGTAATAAACTAGTCCTCCCCCAACCTACCCACCCACCCACCTGCACCCGAAAAAGGAAAAAAGAAAAAGAAGCAGGGACGAGTCCTGCACAGGAATAGTTGATGTAGAAACTATAGGCCTTGCCTTACTTTTCTTACCTTTTCTCCTTGAACCTTAATTGTGTACCTCGCGAACTGTTCTCCCAATAATGAAAACAAATTGGTTCGAGTTTCAAACTATTTTTTTCATACTGTTGCTGATGTAATAAAACAAATATCTTATATGTCAAATTAAGTCCTATGCTTAAGTGTCATAAACTTTCTATTAGGTATTCCATTAGCTTAGGCTATTAGTGGCCTTAGTCTATAAATAGGTGATGTAAGCTTAATTGTACTTAGTTTTAAATTGAGGAATATAAACATTAATTGAGCTAAGTGCTCTGGTTCTCTCTCTAACCATAGGGGGGTTACCCCTAGGTTGGGGGTTTTGTTCACTCTTGATTTTAAACCTAATTGCAATTTTGTTCACTCATAGTTTTAAATTAAAGAATATAGACATTAATCGAGTTAAGTGCTCTGGTTCTCTCTCTAATTCTAGGGCCTACCCTTAGATTGGGGGTTTTGTTCTATGTCTCTTGATTTTGAACCTGATTGCAATTTTGTTGCCTGATGTAGTAAAACAAATATCTTAAATGTCAAATCGAGTCCTATGCTCAAGTGTCATAAGTTTTCTTCTAACTATTCCATTAGCTTGGGCTGTTAGTGACCGCAATCTATAAATAGGTGATGTAAGCTTAATTGTACTTAGTTTTAAATTGAAGAATACAGACATTAGTTGAGCTAAGTGCTCTGTGTAACCCTAGGGGTTGCCCCCTAGGATGGGGTTTTGTTCTCTCTTTCTCTCTCTCTCTCTATATATATATATATATTGAACCTGATTGCAATTTTGTTTTGCATTAATTGCTTTCTTCCACTTTGTTTAATTCTGTCTTTTGTATTATTTTATGCTATACTAATGAATTCTTTTGGTTATCTTTTCCACTGTTTGTTTTGGGACTTTGTGTAGCTGTTATGATGAAGAGAAGGATACCTTAGCTTTCTCAAAGGTGGATTCATTTCTTCCAGGTAGAGTATACTACCATGGATGCCTTAAGTCCTTCCTCCAAATTACAAAGTGGAATGGTCCAGAGGTAATTCATTTTTGACATGCTTGTTGAACAAGATAATAATTGAAAGATTTCAATCACTTTTGCAAGCGTACCTCTAAATTAAACTTAGTTATGTGTTTCCTTATAATTACTAATATTTATTTTCCTCCTAAACCATAATATAGGTAATATACTTTGGGGATCATCTATACAGTGACTTGCGAGGGCCTTCAAAAGCTGGGTGGCGCACTGCTGCCATCATCCATGAGTTAGAAGTATGTCTTCAATTCCATTAATTACAAGTGGTTTTTTCATTTCTTGCTAGTACTTTCCAAAAAAAACGATTAATCACTTTTGTTCCTGTACTTGGAAACTTTTGATGGTAATGTTGAATATTGATTTTGAGCAAAGGTGATCTCGAAACTTGATTCTTTGATTATGTCTTCTTCTAGTAAACAAGATATCCCTATTTATCTAATTACTGAATCTAATCCTGAACATCTTTTTTTTTTCTTCATCTTTTTAAAATTATTTATTATTATCCCTATTTATCTTTTTTTATTTTTTCATTTTATCTTTTGATGGTTTTTTCATCTTTGCATCATCTTGATGCTCTTCTAATAAAGTTTGTTTATTTATCCAAAAATAAATAAATTATTATATATATATGTACTTTGCCCACTAAAAAAATGATATTTATGATTAGAACATAAAGTTATTTCAATAGACGTTGAAAGAGAAAAATACCTTCTTTTTTTTTCCAGAAGAGTTACTAATGGGAAATAATGTATGGCACAACACTCTCTCGAAAACATGAGGCGGGAATGCATCGAAGCATGAATTGACCTAGCGATGTGAACCTTGGGTGAGGTGCACTAGTGAGCGACTTCCCCACTATGATGCGCAAAGAAGCCAAGCTTGATAGGAGCCCGAGCTAAGAGAATTGAACAAACCTTTGAACGAATCTCAGGATTGAAAATGGATAATTTGCAATCATGATTCATGATGTTCAGATATATCATAAGAAAATCATCCAGCTCCAACTTATCTTAAAAATTTCTTCTTTTATCTTAGATGAAAATGGTGCTCCACAACTCATAGCATAGCTGCTTCTTCTTCTTCTTCTTCTTATTTTTTTTTTTATTTTTTTATTTTTTCAATCTACAACAAAAATAAACTTTATTAAAAAAGAGAAACAAGTAAAAAAAGAAAAACAGATGACAAGAAGTTCGCCAAAAGATGTAAAAAAAAGAAAAAAAATAAAACAAAAACAAAAACCAATATTACAAATCACACACTACTCTCCAATTTCTATAAATTAAAATAGAGGAATTCCGTTAAAAGGGGATGATAGTATACAGAAACTCAAAAAGAAGACACAATAGATTCTATTCCATAAAGCTTCAATTTCTTCCTCTTTTCTTTTTTTGTGGACTTCTTGTTCCCATCTTATGGCATTTGATATTTTTTATTAATAATTTATTCACTCTTTGTTTCCGATAAAAACAAACAAACAAAAATAAATCCTCGATATTATCGTAGAAAAATCCTTGCATTTCTTTCCAATCAAATCACCCAAAATACTACACAAATTATAGAAACCCGAAACCAAGAAATTTCCCCAACTGAAACAATCTATGCCATATAGCCATAGCCACTTGACAATACAAAAATATCTTCTTCTTCTTCTTCTTCTTCTCATTTTTATTTTTATTTTTATTTTTTTTCAATCTACAACAAAAATAAACTTTATTAAAAAAGAGAAACAAGTAAAAAAGGAAAAACAGATGACAAGAAGTTCGCCAAAAGATGTAAAAAAAAGAAAAAAAATAAAACAAAAACAAAAACCAATATTACAAAATCACACACTGCTCTCCAATTTCTATAAATTAAAACAGAGGAATTCCCTTAAAAGGGGATGATAGTATACAGAAACTCAAAAAGAAGACACAATAGATTCTATTCCATAAAGCTTCAATTTCTTCCTCTTTTCTTTTTTTGTGGACTTCTTGTTCCCATCTTATGGCATTTGATATTTTTTATTAATAATTTATTCACTCTTTGTTTCCGATAAAAACAAACAAACAAAAATAAATCCTCGTTATTGTCGTAGAAAAATCCTTGCATTTCTTTCCAATCAAATCACCCAAAATACTACACAAATTATAGAAACCCGAAACCAAGAAATTTCCCCAACTGAAACAATCTATGCCATATAGCCATAGCCACTTGACAATACAAAAATAGATGACTCATACCCTCTTCGTGCCTCCTACACATGATACATCATTGTGGAAGCAAAGGACAATTGGTCATTAGTTTTGTGTTTCGTATGAGCCTTAGACCACAATAGCTTTGACTTCAAGAGGCACATTATCGCATTCCAAATGACCTTATGAGAGTGAACACAAGTTGCTTATATAATTGGGTGCAGTTGACCCTGAAAGAAATTTTGTCGACTTAGTGAAAATTTTGCCTTTGCGGTTATGCAATGCTTCTGTTTTTATTCATTTATTTATCTGGTTCCTAAATTCTTGATCTGATAAAATTCAATCGTTTCTCTTCAAATATTTGGAGACTGAGTTTTTGCATTCACTTGGTGATTATGCAGAATGAGATACAGATACAGAATGAGGATAGTTACCGTTTTGAACAGGTATGATCATACACATTTTATGAACCCTACTTGAGATAGGCTTTTGCCAGCCAGTGTAATTATATGTTCAGGGAATGGTGCTTGCATGCCTTGATGATTTCTTCTTTTCTTTTTCTGAAGATTGCATAACAAATTTTTTTAATTTTATTTTTTAAATCAGTTTTGTGCAAAGAACATACTTGATTTTGAAAGAAATCTTTAAACTGCTACATGAAAAACTCTCTCTCGCTCTCTCTGACTTTTCTTGGGCATGCCTGTGCCAACATGTGCATGATGGAATATAATATATTTTAGCATGCTTATCGTTTAACTCGATTTACAGACTTCTTTATAATATTGACCAGAATAAGTTTATTTTATTTAATTTTTATTATTACTATATTTTTTTAAAACCTTGATTTATGATGCTGTTAAAAGAATTTCTTATTTGTTGTCGGTAATTTGGCTTGCTTGTTGCACACGAATAGTTTCAAATTCAAAGGTGCAGTACTTCTATCATTGTCTCAGTTGAGAATTTGTCTTAAATTCCATTTAAATTTTGAATTTATTAGTTCTTTCGTGTTTCTATATTTCTATGTGGACACAGGCGAAATTTCATATAATACAAGAGCTTCTTGGTAAATTGCATGCAACTGTTACTAATAGTCAGAGAAGTGAAGCTTTCCGGTCTCTTTTGTGGGAGCTAAATGAGGAGAGGCAGAAGGCACGATGTGCAATGAAAAACATGTTTAATAGATCTTTCGGAGCCACTTTCCTCACTGACACGGGTCAAGAATCTGCTTTTGCTTATAACATCCATCAATATGCTGATGTGTATACCAGTAAGGCAGAGAATTTTCTCTTTTATCCACCCGAGGCATGGCTTCATGTACCTTTTGATATAAAGATAATGCCACACCACTTGAAGGTAGGTTTTTCTTCTTTCCTTTTTCATAACTTCCGCTCTCCTCAGCCAATAGTTCAGCTCTTCATAAACATATCTATATGCTAGGTTTTCCATGAATCCAGCAGTGGAAAAGGAATTTTTATATGTGAAATGTACAACTTAAAAATGTGTAAGCAAATGAATACTGTAGCTTGTGTATCAATCATGGTTATCAGAATCCCGATCCGGATCATTCTAGTTGGCCTAAACGATCCGGATTGCACTAGGATCTTAAATTTAGTAGGATCTTAAAGTGATTACGATCCTAGTCATAAAATCATGTAGAATTGCTCTACGATCCCGATTCTACTACGATTTTGATCCTACCAAAAAAAAATCTTATTATTTATTTCTTATATATGTATATCTATAGAAGAAATTTGATTATAAATTCTTTTTACAAACATCTCTTCTAATTTATGATAACATAAAAGATGCATTATATCAAATTAATCATTTTCTTTAGTGATTTTACAATTATTTAACATAAATTATCATTATAGATAATATCATTTAATTTTTTTTTGATAAATAAGCAAATTTATTAAAAAAGTATCAAAATGATGCAAAGAATACAAAATTTAAACCCCCAAGGAAAAATGCTATCAAATCCTCTATGAAATCGACATAAGTTAAAACATCTGGATTAACGAACCACGTAACCCAATTATATAACACCATAAATACCTGCCTCTCCAGCCTAGAAATCGACTGAGACACCCCTTGGAAGACACGCTTGTTACGTTCCAACCAAATGAGCTACATTAAACAGTGAGAGGCAATCATCCACGCCTTCCGACATCTCCTCCCAACCCTACCCCCAGCCTAACTTTGCAAGACAGTCAACACTGAACCTGGCTGCACCCAAACCAAACCAAACCAAACCAAAAATAGCCACAATAAGCATCCAGAGCTGATATGTAACTGGGCGATGATAGAGCAAATGGTCTACCGACTCAGCATCACCACCATACAAATAATACCAATTCACTAGTATATGCCCATGGCGCATCAGATTGTCAATTGTCAGAATACATCCTAAGGCTGCCGTCCACACAAAGAAAGCTATCTTGGATATTGTGCCCGACACCCAGACACATTTCTAAGGAAACAAAACCGCATCAACATAAACAAGCGCACCATAGTAGGAAGACACAGAAAAAAGCCCCTTAGAACCGGGACAGACCCAAACCATAAAATCTTCTCCTGCACCCCCAGCTTGCAACCCGTATAAGAAACCCAACAGCTCCACCAACTGATCTACCTCCCAATCTTGAACCTCACGACACAGCCGCACATTCCATTCCACCGCTTGACCTTGCCCTGTTCGAAGCGTCCCAACCATAACCTCGCAATCTTCTACAATCCCAAAAATCAAAGGGAGTAGGTGCTCTAAAGAAGTATCCTCACACCACCTATCACGCCAAAAACGAACTCTATCTCCCAACCCTACCTTCAACTGAATCCTCCGCCAAAACTCCTCCCAGCCCAACCAAATTTCTTTCCAGACACCACAACCATGAGGTTTGTCCCACCCTACCCGAACACCACCCCCTTCTTCCCAGACCAAACTTTGCCACAACCACCTTCCCCCATAAATGCTCCCTTTCTCCCACAAAATGCCACAACTACTTACCCAGCAACGCCAAATTAAACATAACCAACTCTTAACCTCCAAACCCCCTTTCTCCTTAGGACGACAAACTCGACCTCATGCCACCAAATGAGAATGAGATCCCTCCCCCTCATTTCCCCATAAAAAATCTCGCTGCAACTTCTCAATCTGCTTTGCAACTGCCACCAGGATCACATGAACCGACATAAAATAAGTTGGGATACTCGACAAGACACTCTTGACCAACGTAATGTTCTCGCCTTTATATAGATATTGTCACTTCCACCCTACCAAACACCACTGCACATGCTCCACCACTTTGTCCCACACCCCGAGGGCCTTGAAAGAAGCTCCCAAAGGAAGACCAAGATACGAAACTGGCAGAGAAGCCATCTTGCATTCCAAAATCGTTGCCAAAACCGGAAGTCAAGCCACCTCACCTACTGGAATTAATTCAGACTTTGGGAGATTGACCTGAAGGCCGGACACAGCCTCAAAACACAGCAACACACACCGAAGATGTCCAATCTGACCAGTGTCCGCATCACAAAATACAAGAGCATCATCCACATAAAAAAGATGGGATACAACCAAAGAAGTTGGTCTAGAACCCACCTCGAAACCTTACAGCAGACCTCCATGAACTACCCTCCACAACAAATGCCCCAAAGCCTCCATAACCAGAATAAACAACAATGGGGATAGGGGATCACCCTGCCGAAGGCCTCTATATGTGGGGAAAAAACCTGCTGGAGAGCCATTGACCAACACAGACATCCGCACAGTTGTATCCACTACCTCCATCTAGCCCCAAAACCTAATCTCTCCAGTATAAACAATAGAAACTCCCAACTCACATTGTCATATGCCTTTTCAATATCTAATTTACACATAATCCCCGCCTTTCTCTACCTCAACCTTGAATCCACACATTCATTGGATACCAAAACTGCATCCAGAATTTGCCTTCCACCCAAAAAGGCATTTTGAGACTCCGACACCCACCCCCGCGCGCGCGCGCACCCCTCAAAGCCGATTCGCCAAAACCATGGCCAACAGCTTATACACACTACCCAAAAGACTGATAGGTTGAAAGTTCTGAATATCCTGTGCCCCACCTTTCTTGGGAATCAACGCAATAAAAGTGGCATTCAAGCTCCTCTCAAACTATCCCGTTCGGTGGAGCTGCTCAAACGTAGCCATCACATCGTCCTTCACCTCTCCCCAACAGTGCTGGAGAAAAGCTATGGAAAAACCGTCAGGCCCAGGCCCCTTATCCCCAGGCATACTTCGCAGCGCCTCAAACACCTCTTCGTCCGTAAACGCCCTCTCCAACAAAGGACAATCCGCCTCTGGAATAACATCAAATGGAATCCCATCCAACGTCGGCCTCCAAACTCCTTTGTGGATGATAACCCCACCTCATTCACCCGCAATCTCCCTATTTGATTCACTTGCTAATGCACATTTGCCATACGGTCAAAGAAGCTTGTGTTCCGATCCCCATCCTTCAACCATAAATATCTAGATTTCTGGCAAAAACTAATCTCCTCTATACGAGCCACATGACCAAATTGCTTTCAAGTCACATCCTGACGAGCCATATCCTCCTCCGACAAGATACCCCTGTCCTCTTTCTCATCCAACCGCTGCAATACTGTTAAAATATTCGCCTTCTGAGTCTGCAGTTTCCCAAACACCTCCTTATTCCACTCTCGCATAGCCGACTTGAAAAGTTCAATTTCTGGGCTGAATGACAACTAGGATTCCCAAGCATAGTATAACTGCCCCACCACCCCCTCACTCTCTCCTCTCCCCAAAGCCTTCAGACAAAAGCTACATATTCTCAAATCAAAATGGCAACGGTCCCCTATTGATCCCCCCACTGTCCAACAAAACTGGCCGATGATCCGATGCAAGATGATGCAACCTTAGTTGAGTCACCTGTGAGAAATGTCCCTCCCAATCTCCATTCACCAAAAACCTATCAATACGAGACTTCGCTCTGCCCCTCGACTAAGTATAACCACCCCCCTGATGCGGCAAGTCCGCCAATTCCTTCTCATCAATAAATGAAGAAAAAGCTCGCATAGATCCAAACACTGAGGTCGTCCCATGCTTCTTCTCCATGCACCGCACCACATTGAAATCCCCACCCACACACCAAGGAACCCCTCGTCGAAAAGCAATAGACTGTAGCTCCTCCCAAAACGTAGCCCGATCCGACCATCTAACGGGGCCATAAACCTCGGTGAAGGCCCAACGATAATCATCTGCAACACAACGAGACAAACAAGATAGCGAGAAAGCCCCCACCTCCACCTCCTCCTCCTCCTCCACCACCCACCGGTCCCAACACAGAAGGACACCCCCTGCCACCCCCAAAGCTGGTAAAAAAGACCAATCCACAAAGCACCCCCCCAAAGCTCCGTGACAGTCTCCCCTTCAATGCACTCCATCTTTGTTTCTTGAAAACACACTACATCTGCCCTGGCACTTCTCAATAGAGATCGAACCAAGACCCTTTTCCCTCTATCATTCAAACCACGCACATTCCATGACAAAATTTTTAACTGCATGACAACAATAATTGAGTTCCACGGCCCTTTCTACCAGCCCCTCCCTCCCCTCCTTTGTCCCGATCATAATTTATAGAGCATTCCGATTTACGCAACTCCCTAGAATTCTTTTGTTTATGTCCTTCAGATCGCACCTCCTGTCCCAAAGCAACACCCCCTCTCCAGGATTCCTCTATTGCATAAAACAAATTTAAAGCCTCAACTTCATGACCTTCAAAGGAAATGCCCAAATACTGAAGGCTGCAACTGAATTATGGTACTGAAGGCTTTAGTCATGGGCAAAATGAGTAATTGGGTTGGTAATGATATAGAGTTTCTGGTTTTTTTGTCTGACCCATTCAGCCTGGACTGAAAAGAGTTCAGGGTTTCCAAGGTTATACCAAGTCTAAAAACCACCATGGCATGGTCTTAGTCTCGATATGACAGACAGGTTAGATGATCTGGAAACACTGTGATCTAAACCTAACTCTTTCCTCCCTCTCCGCTGCTTCTAGACCTACTCTTTACTGCATTTTCTCTAATAAACTGTCTGAGATGAAATGTAACATGTTCCCAAAATCCATACCCTGCTTGGATTCTAAATTGTGAAAAAGAGATATATCGTCATTGTACAGTTTCTCAAAACAGTAATTTATGTTCTTAATTAGTGCAAGGTGGCTAGCTATATTATTACACCCCCCAAGCATCATCGACCCGCTAATTGACTAATAACCAATAACCAATGAGTTAGTATTTGTTTCTGTTAGGTGAATAACATTGACTTCTCTCTCTCTCTCTCTCTCTGCATGTTCTTTCTTTTTTTCTAATCTTTCCCCTTGAGCAACAGACTTTGTAGATGGTATTGTTTTTCACTCTTTGGATGTTTGTAGAATAGAACACAAGCATGGAAAATCAACCCTTTTCTAAAGTTGAAGGCATAGTCTATAACAATATCTACTCTCATGAAATGCTTAGTGGTGGTCTTAGATTGATGCTTGTAGTTGTGCACAATGTTGTATTTAATTCTATCAAAGCTTTTTCGTGGTGTAAATTGAACATGTTATAATTCTAACCTCTGATGCTATGTTGCCCTAAAAGATCGTCGTTGAAATGTTCATTCAAGTTTGTTTGCACCTATTAAATTTATCTATGCTGTTGTTAGTTATCTATGTCTGCAGAGATAATGACCTCTCATAAAATTGTTCTTTGGTTTCCAGGTTCCGTCAAGATTGTTCAAGACTCCGTAGCTATTACTCGACCATATAGTTGATGACATGGGCGGAGCTATGCATAAAGTAGTGGGTTCAATTGAACCCACTGAACTTTGATTTTTTTTTTAAAATTTTTTTTATAGAATTATGTAGTATTATATACATTTTTTTTAGAGGTTTTCATAAATTGACACCATTAAAATTGTTCAAAAAAATAGATTTATCAAAACAAAAAAAAAACAAAAAAATTGTTTAAAAAATAATTAATTCAATACTTATCATATTTTTATAATATTTTTTTGTTTAGCACGCATAACTATTAATGATTGAAAATGCATATGAATGAGATTTATATGGATATCATTACAACAACCATTATAGATAATATATTAAAAGAAAAATAGACTTCTTTCACAACACGAAATTCTTAATTGCTTAGTTGACGACTGATTTGCTGTTTGCAAGGGTGGATGCATTTCTGTATCAACTCTGCTTTGTGAGATGGATTTGTGACGGAATATATGGATGAGAGATAGCAGTAGTGGAATTGTTACATTTTGAGATAACTTTATGCTACTTTTGGTTGAGAGATTTAGAGAAGGATTTAGAAAGGAGAAGGGAAAGGGAAAGAGAAAGGAAAAAAATGTGAAATTAAGTGAAATATAAATATATTAGCGTATGTTCATGCCTGACGGCACGGTGTAAATAATGTTAGGATTAGAATATAATTATAATCATAAATTTATTATAAAATTTTGAAATTCTCACAAATATTCTCACGAAAATTCGTTTTTGCTTATATAATATATAACTATATAGATAGATATGTCTGATATACATAAAATTTTCACGGGCATACATACAATATTGCTTTTGTTTATATAATTATACGGGCATACATATATTGTATGGAAATATATAAAATATATTGAACAAAATGGAGGGGGGAAAAAAATAGAGAGAAATAAAAACGGGAGAAAATAAAAATAAAATAGAAAGGAATGTGGGATCATGGAAGGATGGATGAGAAAAAGAAAAAATAAGAGAGAGAGAGAGAGAGAGAGGGAGTAGAAAATGTTTATGTAGGACATTTTTTAGAAAATATATCTCAGTTATTGTTTTATACTTTGAACAGATTTGAGCATTTCAAATGTCTTAATAAGACAAAAATAAGTTGAAGATTCAAAAATCGTCCTGTTTTATTAAAATATGTTGAAGATTCATATGAGGTCTAAATTTATGAAATCTATCAGGTATTCAATATATTTAAAAATAATAATTAATTGTTCAAATTCATTTAATTTGTAAACTATAAAATTTGTTAATTTAATCTTCACTACACATATTAATATTTGGCTCCTAATTCTGGGATCGCAGATTTTTTTATATAATATGAATAAAAACAAGTGACCAAAAAGGAAAAAATAAAAAATATATACAAAAAGAGAGAAGAATAAGAATGGGAGAAAATGAAAAAAATAAAAAGAAAAGAGAGGAAGGTGGGATCATAGAAGAATGAGTGAGGAAAAAAAAAAAGTAAGAGAGAGAAGTGGAAAAATAGAAAATGTACATATAGAATATTTTTTGAAAAATATATCTCAGTCGTTGTTTTATAATTTGAATAAATTTATCCAAATGTCCTAGTAGAACAAATGTGTGTAGAACAAATTCAAAAACTACCCTGCTTTAGAGGTGGTTTGAGATTATCTAAACAAGTGTACTTTTTGACTTTTTATGAAATATGGGTTGGGTATTGGTTGAGTTTGAAGTGATGTGGTAGAGAAGTGATGTGACTTAAATAAGATGATGAAACTTAAATAGGATAGTGACTGTTTAACTTTTTGACTTTTTTAAGTTATGACAAACAATGCCTTATTATATAGATGTTGAAGATTTATATGAAGTCTAAATTTATGAAGTCTATTAGGTATTCAATATATTTAAAAATAATAATTAATTGTTCAAATTCATTTAATTTGTGGACTATAAAATTCGATAATTTAATCTCCACTACACACATTAATATATGGCTCCTAATTCTGGAATCACAAACTTTTCCATATAATTTGAATAGAAATAAGCGAACAAAAAGGAAAAAAATATATGTACAAATAGAGAGAAAAATAAAAATAGGAGAAAATAAAAAATAAAAAGAAAAGAGGAAGGTGGGATCATAGAAGGATGAGTGAAAAAAAAAAAAAGTAAGAAAGAAGCGGGAAAATAGAAAATGTACATATAGGATATTTTTTAAAAAATATATCTCAGCCGTTGTTTTATAATTTAAATAGATCTGAGTCATCCAAATGTCCTAGTAGGACAAATGTGTGTAGGACAAATTCAAAAATCATCCTGCTTTATCGTATAGATTTTATTCATATTTTACTTATATTTTTCATTTCTCTTCTTAAATTCTTCTTCAAACCATCTAACCAAATACAATATTAGTAAACTGTCTACTTGTGTTTTTTTTTTCTTTTCTTCTTGTTGAATTCCTGGCCTGGATTCTTTGAAGCATTGTTTAGAGTTGAAGTTATACATGCCTGGAAGTGTGTTGCATAAATTCGGCTACTTATATGATTTACCAGCTGGCAGTTCGGGAATTGCACCCATATGCTAACAGTTGGCCTTTTACTAATCAAGTGGATCCTTAAAATTACGTTACGTTACGTTAATATGAATTTTTATGTTAAAGTTGGGAGTGTAGGCTTCTTCCTCCCCAATTGCTTAATTATTTTTATGTTGTTATCTAGCTGGCTGGTTAATTTGGTGGTGTCTGGTTTGCTAGAGAGAGAGAGAGTCAAACACACAACAGTCAAGTGGCCTAACTATTGGTAAACAAAACCCCTTTTTTAGGGGGAGAGATATTGTTAGTAAACTAGCTTCACATGTTTTTTCCTGCTGCGTTTAATTTTCATGCGCATTGACTTAAAGTTTCTTCTTTGTTTGGGTTTTCCAACTTTCTGTTCAATCCTCCATCTCTTTGTCTGTGCTTTCTTTACGAACATATGCAATAATATGTAACCCATCAATTAGGCGTAGATATCTTTGATTGTGTGTACATTGGATATTGGATTTGATCTAGTGTGTATATATATATATAACGACGATATGTAGAAGTTCAAAAATTAAATTCAATTTTTAAGTCCAAGTCTAATGATGTGATAGTTAATACTCTCTCATTAGGTCTATAAAATGTATAAAATGTTGGCTTGTGTATCATGTTTCTATATTTAATAACTAGGAATAAAGAAAGGGATTTTAGTAATACAGTATTGGGATTAATGAATTATTAGTAATACTGAGATTAAGGGTTGGGATTACAGATATTATGAGGTTCATTTGTATTATGTTTGGTTATTGTATAATATATACCTTGAAATAAGAGGGTAATTATTTATAGCCATTGAATAGTGGATACTTTTATATTTAATGGTGGTTGGTTGACATCGAAATACTATGAAAGGTTGATTTAATACATATACCATCCTCTAGAAGATTTGTAAAATCAAATGTGAGATAGAGATAATCAAATTCAAACCTAATATGAAACCTGAGAGGGAGTTTTTATGTGCATTAGGGCCGAGTTAGGCCCAAGCGTAGTAATAGGCCGTTCTATTGGCAGTGGTAAAAAAGGCTTAGCAAAGTGGACCATTGTTGTTAGCTCTGTCCAAGTATGGTTACAATCGCCACGGTCGTAGTGGTGATAATTAGCTCGGTCATAGTATTCGAAGCCGAGGTGTTTGGGCTTCTTAAGGTGGACCTTGCCCTTGTTAGCTCAGTCAAAACTTGCAGCAGTTAACTCAGTCTAAACAGACAAAACCGAGGTACAAGTGAAACAAGAGTCGAGCTATGTCGTACAATTGAAAAGGCGTTGGATTAAGTATGACAAAGGGCTAGTGTTAGCTCGGTCATACTGTTGTCCAACCGTGGTAAAACCATCTCACTTGGTTTAAGCTGTGAGGGGGGTGTTGAAGGATAAGCATTATCTTTCAGGAGTGTGATTCCTAGGAAGACTCTACATGGAGGAATAAGAGTCCTACTAGGATTGTGCCAGGCAAAAGCTATAAAAGCTCTCAATAGAACCTATGTACAGGTAACACAACTTTGATTTTCGGAGTACACAGAGCTTTTGTCTATTGTCTATTTTGCTGACTTAGGCATCAGAGAGGTATCCGGCACACACTCGCCGGCTAGCTCACGTTTATGTTTTCAGGGAATAAAGCGACGACGTTTGGAGGAGCGCAAACTTGATCAACAGGATTATACGAGAACATTATTTCGTACTCGTACAATTGGCGCCGTCTATGGGAATTCCATAAAGAACAAAACCTCTTGATCAAGCTTTCCTCTCTAGTTAGAAGCAATGGCGCACAATGAAGACTTGCCACAATCAACTATTGATGGGCAAACCCCAGAGGGGGGTGGGAGGTGCGAAGGTTTGCTTTCTATCCCTCCCATGGCGGATTTAGAACCTTAACGACAGAACCCCCTGAGGGATGCAAGGGGGAGACAGGTGGCAGTCCCCATCACTCTCAAAGTCCTGAAAGACAAAGGCGGAGGATGGACCCTCAAGTTCTGGAGGATCGCGTGAAAGAGCAGGACGAGTTAATAAGGAAGATGGCGGCAGACATGGAGTCAATGAAGCGCTAGATAAAAGGAAAAAGGATGGCGACAGGAAAGAAGCGCAAAGGCAACACACCCCCCTCGCCACTCGAAAGATCGTGGTAGGCATACCACACCATCGCAAGCAGAAAGTAGGAGTCTCAGAACAGGCGACACTCAATCGCGGACTTCCAGGACTCGTTACTCCAGATCTGAGAGGTCGTGTACTGAGGGAAACATCTATCGACCCTCGCACATGCACCAGACGTCATCTAGGCACACGGAGTTGCCTAGATCATCTGACTTGCGAACAGTGCTTGAAGAAAGGGCCCGATAGAAGGAGGACACCAGGGCTCACGACCCGCGCAGAGTTTCAGCCCTTCAGCGGTTAGCCCCTCGGACGCATGGTAGCGTCGAGGTAGGAATACCAATGCCGCGCCTTGCTTAAGAACCAGCAGACAAAGTATTAGCAAGGTTACAAAGCTCGCCATTCGTTCCGGCAATTGAGAACGCACCACTACCCTCAGGCTTCCACCAGCCCAAATTCACCACTTATGAGGGGAAGTCTGACCCCTACATGCACCTGAGCCACTTCCGCCAGGTTATGGCAGTATA